GACAAACCCTGACCAGAGCTCACGGCCTGCCAATATTCGCGCAGGCTAGGATCAAGGCTTGCTGTTTCGGCAGTCCGAGTTAACCATTGTTGGAAGTGATAGAGGACCTTTGATGTTCTCAATTCCATGCCACCCGTCTAGGAAGTAGGGAGATCTTCAAGGTGCCCCCTCATTCGTTGTTATTTCCTTACTTACAGGCAGAGTGGACAGTGAGAGAGAGAGAGAGAGAGAGAGAGAAAGGTCTTCCTTTGCCGTTGGTTCACCCTCTGATGGCCGCCACGGCAGCGTGCTGCGGCCAGCGCACCGCGCTGATCCAAAGGCAGGAGCCAGGTGCTTCTCCTGGTCTCCCATGGGGTGCAGGGCCCAAGCACTTGGGCCATCCTCCACTGCACTCCCTGGCCACAGCAGAGAGCTGGCCTGGAAGAATGGCAACCGGGACAGAATCCAGCGCCCCGACCCGGACTAGAACCCGGTGTGCCGGCGCCGCAAGGCAGAGGATTAGCCTAGTGAGCCGCGGCGCCGGCCATTCTATGCCTTCTTAATGTCACCTTCAAAATGCCAAGAGTAGAGCAGGCGTCAGCCCAGTGGTTAAGGTGCTCACGTCCTACACTGGACTGCCTGGGTTCAGTTCCCAGCGCTGCTTCCTGATTCCAGCTGCCTGCTAATTCAGACCCTGGGAGTCAGCAGTGATGGCTCAGGTATTTGGGTTCCTGCCACCCACTTGGGAGACCTGGGTTGAGTTCCCAGCTCCACGCTTTAGCCCTGGTCCAGCCCTAGCCGTTGCAGGTATTTGGAGAGTGAACCAGTGGATGAGACTACTTGCTCTCTGCTCTGCTCTGCTCTCAAAGTTTAAAAAAAAAATCATTCAAAGAGCAGTGATGCAGAGACTAGCCATTTTCTCTGAAAGGGGGTTGGTGGAAGATTTTCTCTAACTCCTGGGGCCCAGCCTCACCAGGTCTGGGAGAGAGGAAGTGCACCCCAGCTGAGCTGTGCTAGGACAGGGTTTGTCCCTGCTGAAGGAGGTGCTGGCTCTGCTGCTGCTCCAGCCGCTGTGTCCTCTCCTTGCTGTCCGGCTCCCATGCCCGAGCCCAGCTCACCCCTGCGTGTCCACACTGCCCAGCTCTCTGTAGGATGCGAGTGCTTCTCTCTGCTTGGCCTTTGTCAGGTTTACTGCGGTCTGTCTGCCGGCGAGTTCCAGCTGATCCGTCAGACGCTCCTCATCTTCTTCCAAGACCTGCACATCCGGGTAAGTGAGGGGGCAGCTCCAGGAACCCACTGCGTAAGGGAAACGGAGGCAGACAAGGGAGGGCATTGTGCCCGGTTAGTGATGGCCTCGGGGTTTGATTCCACGGTGAGAAACGTCCTGATGATCAGGTGCAGCAGTTGGAAACAGCACGAGAGAGATCACAAGGCCGCCGTTCTCACAGTTAACCTCACGAGGTTTTTTGTAGTAGTTCCTCTCTGCTTCTCCCAAGGAAATGTGCTCTTGAGCCAACCTGATCTCGAATCCAGTCCTCCTCTCAAGCCTTACCGTCCTTGGCTTCTGTGGCACCTGACATAGGCAAGAGGCTGCTGTCCTGCCCTTGAACCCTGACCTGTCCTGGGTCTTCACGTTTCCAGCCACCCTGGCCTTCCCTTACTTCTCCCTTCCAAATTCACCCCTCCCTGTCCCCAGACCTCCCCCCTCTCTCTCCACTCCCCCTCTGCTCATCGGGGACCTCTTTCCTCCCCATACCAACTCCTCTGGCTGCGACTCCTGAGTCTAACCCCTACCCCGCCCCGGCCCACCGCTGCACTGCAGACCCCAGTCTCCACAAGGAGGCCCACCAGGGCCCACAACCTAATGTCGCTGTCTGCATTAGTCCCGGCAGATCAAGTGCTGATTTCTTTTGAGAGCACCACCGTTCCCCCACTCACTCAGCTCAGAACCAGAGCAGCATCTTGGATTCCCCGTTTCTGATCTTCGTCCAATTGCAGCTAAGGCCTGTAGGGTCTGCCCTTTCAACGTGCGCCAGCATTCCTGTGCCACCAGCCGAGCCCTCAGACTTCATAGGGCCATTGCTTCCTGCCTGGCCCTCCCTCCTCCTGCCATGCCTACTCCAGACCATTCTACACCCTGACTCTGTCCGAAAATTTTACTTATTTACCTTATTTGAGAGAAAGAGAGAGAGAAGTCTCCTATCTGTTGGTTCATTCGCTAAATGCTTGCAATGACCAGGGCTGGACCAGACTGAAGCTGGGAGCTGAGAACTCAGTGCAGGTCCCCACGTTGGTAGCAGGAATCTGACCACTTGATCCATCTCCTTCTGCCTCCTTAGGGTGCACATTCGCAGAAAACTGGAATTGGGAATGGGGACTCCAACCCAGGCACTCCTAGGGGTCGCAGGCATATGAGGCAGCACCTGTGCTGGTAGGCCAAATGCCTGCTCCTACTCTGCCTTTTACAACCACATTCTAAGCTCTGGAATTGTGGGCCCACCTCTCTCAGACACGGCTGTTTTCCTCCCCGTAACGTAACAGACTGGTACAGGAAAGATGGTTCGATGCGGCGGAACAAGTGCAGGCCCTGGAGCTACTCTCGTGTCTGCAGCCCATCTCCAGCACCAGCTCCAGGACCTTGGGCAAATTACTTCCCCTGAGCCTTGGTTTCCTCGTCTGAGAAATGGAACTGACGCCATTCCTAACTCAGAGTTTGCCGGGAGGGTTCACCAAAGCAGACGGTGTGATATATACGTAGGTTTGCTCCCAGAAGGATGTGCACAAAACTGGCCACAGTGGCTGCCTTCAAGGACTGGGGAGCTGGCTGGAGGACAAGGGCAGGAGAGAGACTCCCATCCCATCAGACAGACCCCTTTGAACCTTTCGCACGCTGTACCTGCGTACGTGAGACGCACTCACGCTCACACCGTAAAACTCCAGCCAAAGGAAGGGATTGAAAATGGTTCATGCCTTCCACAGACCAGAAAAGATGAACAATGGCAGCTCCAACGCCAATTTTATTTTTAACCCTCGTGAGTAATTTTGTCTGCTATAGATGGAGCCATAATAACATCAGTATAAATTAAGGTCTCTAATACTCATCGATTACCATAAACAACGGGAAGGTACAAATAAGACAAAGTTTTGCATTAAATTTAAAACACCAATTTGAAAATATTGAAAGTTCTGCATTGTATTATTATGAAAACCCTGCATATCTGGGCGTTATTTTTATGGGTTGTAGTAATACAAGCAGCCATATTGATTTCACAATTCTGACAAGATAAAATTCAGTATAGTGAAAAGACTTTCCTAATAAGAATTCTATAGCAAAATCTTTAAAACGTATTAAGCCACAAAGTATATTAAGCTTTAATTGCTAAGCTGGCAGGCCGTGAAGCAGCAGACTGTTTATCAAGAGAATAGCACCGCGTGTCCTGATGAGACTGCCGCTGACCTGTGCCGGCTGGGCTGGTTCCCAGGCCTGGTCTCTGATGGTGTTGCTGCTCAGCTGCAGTCTGTGACTGCCTCCATGGACTTTCTGCACTTCCCCACACCCTTGATAGCTTTAGATGCGTTCGCACAATCAAACGACATCAGGAAAACACAGCCCTGCTCTGACAACCCCTTCCCCACTGTGTAACCACAGCAAACACAAAACTGCTCCTCCAGTGCCGGTATCCAAGCTCTCTGGGCTCTCACAGGCCAACGTGAAGTGGCCAAGGGCCCACCCTGTGCCCCAGAACCTGGACAGAGACGGTGCCAACCAAGAGCAATTGCATTTGCAATCCTTCCAATTACTTACAACCGACTCTGTCCCTGACCCCCGGCAGAGCCCCCAGAGTTGCCTCCCGCAGGCTGAGCGCTCTGGTCGGCCTCCTCTCCCTCACCCCCGCGCACCCTCTGTCACTGGCTTTCTTCTTTCCATGCCAACATCATTCCGCCTTGGCCTCTCCGCAGGACGTCCCTCACATCTCCATTCTACCTGGAAGTAGTTCAGCCCTGGAAACCCAGTCAGCCTAGTGAGTATTCATGAAGTGCCTACTGTATGCCAGGCTGTCTTAAGTGTCTGAGATACACAAGTGAGCAAGACAGAGGCCCCGCCCTGTGCCAGTGGGGCGGTACAGGGAGGGCAGGTCGGTCGCCTTCCTGCGCTGAGACCGTGAGGGAGACGGTGACACGAGGGACAGCTGTGGAGGGCAGCAGGCCTCGGGTGTTGCTTGCGTTAGACCAGCAGAACTTCCTGCGGTGATGGACATGTCCCGTGTCTGTGCCGTCCAGGAGCCAGGTGCGGCCACCGAGCGCTTGGAATATGTGGCTGGGAAGCTGAATTTGTAATTATAAATCATTTACACGTAACTGGTAGTTACCGAATGGGCCGGGAGATCTTTAGACAAGAGAGTCAAGGGCAGACTTTCGGGAGACAGACATTTAATTGCTAATGGAACTAAGAGAGAGCCTGGGGAAGAGCATCTAAGCTGACCACCAGCTCAGAGCCCCTAGACGGGAACAAGAATGATGTATGTTCCCTGAGCTCAGAGAGGCTGCTGTGGGTAGCACACACCCTGCTGGGCAGGGGTGAGGCTCCCAATAAACGCGATTCCGTGTGTGGCACAACACGGACGAATCAGAAGAGGCACCAGTCGTCAGTCAGTTGGCACTGATCCACTGACTCGGCTTTAGGCCCTAGGAAAGAGGTTATTCAGGAACAAACAAAAGGGGCCGGCGTCGTGGTACGGCTGGCTAAGCCACCACTTGGGTCGCCCGCACCCCACAGCAGAGGGTCTGGGTTGAGTTCCAGTTCCTCCATGTTTCGGATCGGTTCCCTGCTCATGTGCACTCTGGGAAGCAGCAGATATGGCTCGAGTACTTGGGTCCCTGCCACCCACCACCGTGGGAGACCCGGATGGAGTTCCTGGCTCCTGGTTTCAGCCTGGCCCAGGCCATTTGGGGAGTGAACCAGTGGATGGAAGACCTCTCTCTGTTTGCCTCCCTCTCTGTCTCTTTCTCTCTCTGCCTTTCAAATAAATCAAAGTAGACTTTAAAAAAAAAAAAGCTCTTGAGCATTTTAAGGTGTGAGGTAACAAGGACCGATTTCTGTTCTGGAAAGTGAACCATGCAGGACAGAGGTAGAGGTGGCACAGTGGGTAGGAGCCATTATAGACACCAGAGCAGTGGAGAACGTTCACATCCGGGATACAGCTCTGGGGCAAGACCGAGAGACTGGACGTGAGGAACCAGGGGGGAAGAAGAGAGGACACGGGCAAGGCGGGTGCATTTCCTGGGATGGGAAAGACCCTGGGGTGGGAAAGTGAACCATTCTCTTTGTTTGATTTGCCTGCCAGACACCCAGGTAGCCATGTGACAGGCAGTTCAGTCTGCCAGCCTGGAGCTTGGAGGACAGACCCAGCTGGGAGTCATCTGCACCCAGCGTAGGGCTGGTGTTTGAAGTCTCCTGGCCACTGATGGAAGCTGAGCTCTGGTCCTCAGCCTCAGGCATTTTATATATGTACACATATGTGGACACACATACAGACATGTGTTTAAGATGTATTTATTTACTTGAAAGGCAGAGTAACAGAGAAAAAAATCTTCTATTTGCTGATTCACTCCCTAAATGGCCATAACAGCTTAGGCTGGCCCAGGCTGAATTCAGGAGCCTGGGACTGCATCCGGGTCTCCCACATGGGTGGCAGGAACTCAGGTGCTTGAGCTGCTTCCCAGGTTCATTAGCAGGGAGCTAGACAGGAAGCAGAGTAGCCGGGTCTCAAACCTGTACTCTGGAATGGGATGCAGACAGAATGGGATGTGGGCATCCCACTTGGGGGCTTAAGCTGCTGAGCCACAATGCTCACCCCAGATTTGTTTTTTTTAATGGCTTTTCTGGGGCCAGCACTGTGGTGTAGTAGGCTAAGCCTCCGCCTGCAGCTCCGGCATCCCCTATGGGCACAGGTTCATGTTCCGGCTGCTTGTATTCAAATCCAGCTCTCTGTTAAGGGTCTGGGAATGCAGTGAAAGATGGCTCAGGTGCTTGGGCCCCTGTACCTGTGTGGGAGACCTGGAAGAAGCTTCTGGTTCCTGGCTTCAAATCAGCCCAGCTCCAGCTGTTGAGACCATTTGGGGAGTGAACCAGCAGATGGAAGACCTTTCTCTGTGTCTCTCCCTCCTCTGTCTGTAACTCTACCTCTCAATAAATGAATTTTTTTTTTTTTAAAAAAAGGGGGTTTCTGGGGCCAGTGCTATGATGCAGTGGGTTGAACTGCTGCCTGCAATGCTGGCATCCCATATGGGTGCCGGTTCAAGTCCCAGCTGCTCTACTTCCAATACAGCTGCTTGCTAAAAAGCTGGGGAAAGTAGCGGAAGATGGCCCAAGTGCTTGGGCCGCTGCCACCCATGTGGGGAGACCTGGCTGACTTTGTTCCTGGCTTTGGTCTAGTCCAGCCCTAGCTGTTTTTGGCTATTTAGGGAGTGAAACAGAGGTTGAAAGATCTGTCTCTCCCTCTCTGCCTTTCAAATAAATAAAATAAATCTTTAAAAATAAAATGGGTTTTCACCAGGCCCATGAGAAAATGGGGGTGGGAGGTTAAGAAGGACACCTTAGGTTGAGGGTGCCATCTCAGTTGAGTTAGGTCCCTTCCTGGGCGGGGCCTAGGGGAGGGCTGAGCAGTTGATCGTGGCTGGAACATGAGGTTCAGGAACATGGTGCAGAGAAGAACAAGGCCAGCGGAGAGTACCTGGCAGGCAGCAGAGAGCCAGTGAAAAACTTCAAGCTGGAGAGGGACAGGATCAGATTTGGCTGTCAAAGAGTCTGTGCAGTAGAATGGAGGACGGATTGAAAGCAGCAAGAAGGAAGGCAGGGAGACCAGCGGAAAAAAAAACATCCAGCTAAACCCTCTGACCAAACTGGTTTACACATTCTCCCCGAAACACGACCTGTGTCCGCTCACCTGCTGCTGAAGTGGCCCCAGCCGTATCCACCTGCCCGGCTGCAAGCCCGCGGTCACCCCTGCCACCCTGCAGGCCTGTGGTCCTCCTCTGTAGGCTAATATGCACATGCTGCTTAGCACATCCTGCTTCAGGGTGCTTTCCTTTTATGCTTGTGTCCTGTGTCCTGTGTCCTGTGTCCTGTGTCCGATTAGAGGTGCTAACCAGAGTACAGCTACCATCTATTGAACACTACAGGCAGGCTTTGCTTTTTTTTTTTTTTTTTTTTTTTTTTTTTTTGACAGGCAGAGTGGACAGTGAGAGAGAGACAGAGAGAGAGAGGTCTTCCTTTGCCGTTGGTTCACCCTCCAATGGCCGCCGCTGCAGCCGGCGCACCGCGCTGATCCGATGGCAGGAGCCAGGATCCAGGTGCTTTTCCTGGTCTCCCATGCGGCGCCGTGGCTCAATAGGCTAATCCTCCACCTTGTGGCGCCGGCACACCGGGTTCTAGTCCCGGTTGGGGCGCCGGATTCTGTCCCGGTTGCCCTTCTTCCAGGCCAGCTCTCTGCTATGGCCAGGGAGTGCAGTGGAGGATGGCCCAGGTGCTTGGGCCCTGCACCCCATGGGAGACCAGGCTTTGCTTTTTATGCTTCGTCGGATTTAGTTGTCACACTAACCCATTGAGTAGGAAGTATTATTACCCCCAGCTTACTGAACAGAAACCTGATATACAGAAAGGCTGGTGTTTTTTTTTTTTTTAAACCAAAAACCCAGATCCAAGAAGCAGCTCAGCTGATATTTAAGCCCAGTCTAACAGTTTGCCAGGCTTCCAGCTTATAAATTTTTATCACTTGGCATCTTCCCTGCTTGCACACGACAGATGCTTATTTTTGGTGAAATCATTAATATAAAGCTGTAGAATTTTAGAGCTGGAAGTTTATGTCACTTCCTGGATGAAGAAGGTAAGAGCCTGTAAAACTGATTAACTGGTACAGTCTTTATTGGATTTAATCTGTGAACGACCAAAACCTCCACAGAGAGGGGGTGGGAGATCAGTGTACCGCTCCAGTCTTGTGAAGGGCGGCCCTCGGAGGCTGCTGTCGGCTGGGTCTGCCTGCTCCAGCCCTGCCCTTCTCACCAGCGCGCAGGCAAGAGCTTGGGCTCCAGAGTCAGAAACAAGAATTTGAGGCCTCAGCTCTGCCTGGTAGGAGCTGGCTGCCCTGGAGGCTGTGTGGCGACCTCCCAGCTGCCGGTTCTTCATGAGGGTCTTCATGAGCACAAAGCTTGCAGCTGCATAGAAAGTTAGCAGGAAACTGAGGAACGGGCGTGGAGTTTGGAGTCAGGTTGGTTTTGAGTCAGTTTGGAATCCCAGCCCTGCCTCTTATTTTTCTCTCTGGGGTAAGTCACTTCCCTCTGAACCTCGGCTTCCTCGTCTGTAAAATGGGAGTAATGCGGCTCACCTGGCAGGTTTGCTGCACCACCTCCACGTCGCTCTGTTTGTGAAAGCCTGGCGGCTCCGCAGGTGTGAGTGGCGGTGGGTTTTTGCTCTCTCCTGACTGTTAGAAACTCTCTAGGTAACATTCCCAAAACCATCACACGGTTTCCAACTTCAGAATGTTTGTGTCTGTAAAAACGTACCTAGAAAAATGAGACTGTATTTCTCCCCCCGCCCCCCAGGTGTCCATATTTCTGAAGGACAAAGTTCAGAACTCGAATGGCCGCTTCGTGTTGCCAGTGTCCGGGCCTGTTCCCTGGGGGACGGAAGTTCCTGGACTCATCAGGTGAATTCTCAGCAGTGTCCTCCCAGCAGCCCTGGGCTGCCAGGAAACCAGTATGTGAGCCTGGACAGACACAGCACTGCCCTCCCCCCTGCTCAGTTAAGCTCACTGCTCACGAGGTCAGGGCCTAATCCCAGCTTTGCCACTTAGCAGAGGAGCCTGGGAGAAGCCGTGCATTCTCCAAAACTCACTTCCTCGTCTGTGAAGTGGTTACTATGACAACGCATAAGGTAACAGTGCTCTGATGTGCTCATACTGCACTCGGCATGTAACATCAGCACAGTAGATACTGTGATTATCATCATTGTTATGATCACAACTGGCATCTTGGCCTTTTTTTTTTTAAGATTTATTTATTTGAAAGGCAGAGTTACAGAGAGAGAGAGAGAGAGAGAGAGAAATCTCCTATCTATTGGTTCACTTCCGAAATGGCCATAATGGCCCAGGCTGGGCCAGGCCAAAGCCAGGAGCCAGAAACTTCATTCAACTGGGTCTCCCACATGGGTGCAGGGTCCCAGGGACTTGGGCCATCTTCTACTGCTTTCCCAGGCCATAGCAGAGAGCTGGATCAGGAGTGGAGCAGCCAGGACTCAAACCGGTGCCCATATGGAATGCCGACACTGCAGGCGGCGGCTTCACCCGCTTCACCAGAGCCCCGACCTCGCATCTTGATCTTGAAGGAGTGCATGAGTTCCTTTTTTGTCCATGGTACAAAGAACAATGAAGGCTCCTGGGCTCCCTGAGCTTGGAGAATATTCCATTATGTCACACTTTGTATTGCAGAATGTTCAACCACAAAGGTGAAGAAGTCAAGAAGATAAAATTCAAGCATGGTGGAAACTATGTCACTGCAACCAAAGAAGGTTCTTTTGAACTTTATGGAGACCGAGTCCTGAAACTAGGAACTAACATGTAAGCGAAGTCTCCCTCCCTGAGCAAACTCAAGGTCGAAGGAGGTCACTTCATTCCAAAACCCAGCATGACGCTTTCTGCTGTGAAAATTTCCCTTAGATACATTGCGTGCAGATTCCTGACATTTTCAAAGGGCGCCAGGAACTCCAAACACAAGGCAACTCATTTCATCAACAGATCAAAAAGATGTATAGTTTCTTTGATTTTTTTTTTGTTTATTTACTGTTTATTTGAGGGAGAAAGAAAGAGAGAGAGAGAGAGAGAGCAAGCTCCTATCCACTTGGTTCACTCCCAAATGCAATGGCTGTGGCTGGAGCCAGGAGCCAGGAACACAGTCCAGGTCTCCCACGTGGGTAGCAGGAACTCAGTTACCTGAGCCATCACCAGTGCCTCCCGGGGTCTGTAACAGCAGGAAATTGGAGCCAGGAGCTGGAGCCTAAGATCAAACTCAGGGACTCCTATGAGGATACAGGCATATTTTTTAAAAAAAGAAAAAAAATGTATTTATTTGGAAGAATGACAGAGAGAGAGAGAGATCTTTTATCTGCTGGTTCACCACCAAAATAGCTACAACGGTCCAAGCTGGGCCAGGCCAAAGCCAGGAGCTGGGAACTCAATCCAGGTCTCCCAGGCGGGTGGCAGGGGTCCAGCTTTGACCTGAGCCATTACCTGCTGCCTCCCAGGGTGCTCATTAGCAGTCACCTGGAATTGGAGACAGATCCAGGTCTCCAACCCAGGGGATACGGGCATCTGAACTGCTACCCCAAACTCCCGTCCCCTCACAGCACCTTCTCGGATGCTATTTGGCATCTCAGAAGTCTTGAACCACACTTCCAAGTTAAAAAAAAAAAGTCAGTGGAAAGGGTCCAGATAATGTCACCATTTCCTGTTGACACCAGGTACAGCCTGAATCGGCCCGTGGACACCCAGACGTCTGGAGCATCAAAGAACTCCACCTCACGAGCGCAGGTGAGTTTCTCCTTCCTCCCTCATCTTCGCAGCTTCTTTCTAGATGCAGAAATCTCGATGGGCACACTTTAAATCTGCAAGCTAGCCAACATTTCCCCTCGTCATGTGCAATCTCCGTTCAGCCTTGCAACTACGCAGGGTTTGTCTTTGAATCTTTGTGTATTTTCATCTACTTGAAAGGCAGAGTGACAGAGAGGGAGAGAGAGCGAGATCTTCTGTCTGCTGGCGTACTCCCCAAATGTCTGCAGCAGCCAGAGCTGGGCCAGGCTGAAGCCAGGCCTCTATCCAGGTCTCTCACATAGGTGGCAGGCACCCCCAGGATGCATTAGCAGGAAGCTGGGTAGGAATCAGAGCAGCCAGGACTTGAACCAGCACTCCAGTAGGGGATGCTGGCATCCCAAACACCAACTTAACCCACTGCACCACAACACCCACCCCAACTCAGGTTTTAATTGTAGCTTTTCATGCGTATGTCCAGTGATCTGACTAATTGGGTAATTTCAGGCTTGGCTCAGCCACCCTAATTAGGCAGGAAGCACCCGCCAGGACGTGTGAAACTGCACCAGGGCACCAGGGCCATTAGGTCTGTGACTGCTGAGCCCAGCACTTCCAAGAATTCTGATGGTTAAAATGTCCCTTTTTACTGCTCCCTTACACAGCAGTGTGCAGCTCCTTTCAAACCGGGATTGTCACTTCTCTGAATTCCATCTTCGCAAATGTTTACCAAGTTAACTCCCTGCAAGCTGTAGGACACATCACAGAATATCCAGTTATTCAGCACAGCACACATTTCCTGAACTGCTTCTATGGGCTGGGTACACTGGGACACAAAGCTGACACAGGGGCTGGCGCTGACGTGTAGCAGGTAAAGCCCCTGCCTGCAGTGTCGGCATCCCATATGGGCACCGGTTTGAGACCCAGCTGCTCCACTTCCAATCCAGCTCTCTGCTATGGCCAGGGAAAGCAATAGAGGATGTCCAAGTCCTTGGGCCCGTGCACTTGCATGGGAGACTTGGAAGAAACTCCAGGTTCCTGGCTTCAGATCAGCCCAGCTCCGGCTGTTGCAGCCATTTGGGGAGTGAACTAGAGGATGGAGGACCTTTCTCTCTCTCTCGCTCTCTGCCTTTCAAATAAATAAATAAATCTAAAAAAAAAAAAAAAAAAAAAAAAAAAAAAAAAAAAAAGCTGACATAGACGTGGTCCCATCCTGAAAGGACTGAAAGTTCCCTGAGAAGGACAGCCATGGAAACCGTAACTCTTACGAGGCACAAGATGAGCTTGCTGGGTGTTCTGACTGCAGGGACACGTGCTCCGTCCAGTGGGGTGGGGACAGGGATGAAGAGGGCTTTCCAGAGGAGGTGACATTGAAGTGGGGTTCTAGAGTGGGTAAAACGTTAAACAGCAGGGGAGGGGGAAGGGGCACGCAGACCGAGGTGACAGGACAAGCAGAGACACCGAGGGCAAGAGAGCTCCGCCACAGCGTCACCAAGGCAGGTGGCCGACTCTTCTCCCGGCAGGGACATCGGGGCTTGATTAGGGGAGGGGCTTAAACAGCATGCTTTGTTCTGTGGGCATGAAGCAGAGGGGTTTGTCTGGGGCAAGGGAGAAATGAGACAAGACCTGTGTTTCAGATGACTGTGGCAGAGTGGATCAGAGAGCCCTGGGATGGGCTCTGAAGGAAGGGACCAGGACAGTGAGCGGAGGGAGGGCCCCAGGGGTGTGTTCATGGCCGTCACCACCTGGGGGCAGTGTGCTGGCTCCTCCGGAATAGGAACCCTGGGCCCTCGGGACTTCACTGAGGCCACTGGCCATGCCCAGGGAACTGGACTGGCTCAAGAGGAAGCAGCATCCCCTCCTTCGAGGAGGAAGGTAGCTGGGGAAGGGTGGGGCCTCTGGGCCCGCCACTCATCCTGAAAGTGGAAACTTCTGCTGCGGACCCAGGCGGTTTTTCTGTTGGTTAAGCCTACTTTGGGGCCCAGAAATAATCCAGTGGTTGGTTTGCCAGATTTTGTAACCCAGTGTCTGGGGTCTTAGCCAGAAATGTGCTCACCTTCATGTGGCTACAGATCACGCCATTGTTTCAGCAGGAGAACATCGCTCCAAATCCGCTTGCTAAAGAAGAGCTGAATTTCCTGGCCAGACTGATGGGAGGGATGGAGATTAAGAACCCCAGTGGCCCCGAGCCAGGATTCCGGTTGAATCTGTTTACCACCGATGATGAAGAGGAGTATGTTTTAAACCCATTTCTCTTAAGACACAGAAAAATCCCAAGTTTGATACAAACCTCAGAGTGACAATTACAAACCAGAGACACCTATAAATAATGAAGGAAAGCCCAGCCAGTTCAATAGCCTTGGTAAAGAATCCCCCCGGGGTTAAATGGCCCGAGCCTTCTGGAGTCATTCAAAAATAGAGTTCTAGTGTGTTGCTTAACAGAGTACAACCGAGCAACACATAGTAGGCACCAACGTGGTCATACTAGGACAAGTCTGTTAAGAAATCAGAGGGAGGCTGGACCTCGGTGTCTTTGGGGTTAGAGAGTCTAATGGCCAAACCCAGTGGTGGTGGCGACTCACCAGGCTTCTGCAGTTCTGTCAGGCACCTTGCCTTGCATCCACCCTGCAGCGCTCCGCACTGCCTGCACCTGGGGTGAGGATTGCCTCCTGTTTCCTGTGGTCGAGCTCACTTCAGGGATGATGGGAAGTGCTGGGGACACAAAGATGGCACAAAGGAGCCAAAGCCTGACCCTCGTGCGTAACTTATTCCATTGCCGTGTCATGAATGCCCCGAGTGAGGGCACAGCAGCTGACTGGGCCCTGGCACGCCACAGAGTTGGCATTTGATCTGGGTCTTGGAGTTTGCCAAGCAGAGGAAGGGGAAGACCGTTCCTGGCAGGGTTTAGTGTGTGTGCAAAGGCACGGGGACAGAGCCAGACTTGACTTTGCAGAGCAGAGGGTGCCTTGTTTGGAAGTGAGCTGGAAAGTTGGATCGGCAGGTGAGGCAGAACATAGGTGCCGAGTTACCAAGGGCCAGCTTGCCGAGCTGGCATGGAGCATACCCAGACCTTGTTCCCATTTCTTCACCGTCTCATCCAGACAGGCAGCCCTAACCAAGCCAGAAGAGTTAGACAACAAAGTCATCAACATACAAGCTATGCAGGTGAGTACGTGGGACTCCACGGGGTCACACATTTCCCTCCTCGTCTTGGGACATCCCTTTTTCTCCCCAGCCATCCTGCAGCGGCTCTATCGTCCCTATTTTGACAAATAAGTGGGCAACCGGAAGTGGGGCACAAGAATAGACAAATAAGCACTGCTGGCACCTCCCCCTCATCCTTTTCACCTCCCATTTCTCTCCCAGGACCAGCAACGGAGCGAGGAGCTGGCCCGGATCCTGGGGGAGCTGGAGGTCACTGACCAGCCGAGGTGGAGCACCAGCAAGGGGGACGACCTGCTGGCCATGATGGATGAGTTGTAGCTGTGCTGACCGGGCACGCCCCTCTGCCCAGAGACGCTTCCGGATGAGGACCCCGGAGAAGGACCAGGGTCCGCCGTGCTGCTGCTAATTTTCTATGGAGTGAAGCCGCTACGTGCAATTCCCATCTCTGCTGTAATGAACTCCGCAAGTGCCCCCGAGACAGCACCCCACCCCAGAAGGCCCCACATGCACTGTATTTTCAGCAAAATATATTCTGGCTTTGAAACTACACCCTCCCTGTTCTCCCGATTCTCCAGCAGCCACCCAGAGCATCCCGGGCCGTGGGTCTGTACGGAGCCACCCCAGGGGTCGTCTCCTCCCTTATGTCCGCTGTCCTCGGCATGCCAGGTCTCACAGGCACCTGCCTGTGAGCCATCACAGAAACATCTCGGTCCCCTGAGCTGGACTCTGCTGTGTGGGTGAGTGTGGAGTCAAGAAAAGGCATGCCTCCCACCACTGGGCTCCCCATCCTGGCACCCTGCACCCGGGAAACTGTCAGCACCCACAGGCTGAGTGAGCACTGCTGAGACAGGCCAGGGGCATCTGTACCTCCCCGTATGCCTCTCTGTCCATTTGTGGAGGCGAATTTGTCCTGCGTGGGGAGAGGTACCACTCCCCCACCCCCACCCCAGAGTCTTCGTCTGCCACGTAGGCACTCACCCACCAAAGATACCCAGCCTGATGTGCTGTGGCATCTGTGTCCTCTGTCACCAGGTGGAGCCTGAGGCCAGGTGCATGGGAAGTGCCCACGCTGTGCCACCTCACCTTCTGTGTCACAGCAGAGCCACTGCCCTCGGCACAATGCCAAGTCTCACTGGGATCCGTGGGAAACACCTGGGGCCAGCGCCACCATCTGCCTGCCGCACGCTTCCTCCCAGGACCAAGTGACCAGCAAGGTCAAGGCCACCCAAACACGCAGAGGGCCAGGCCCCTCCGTCCTACAGAATGAGTATCCAGAGCTGCAGAAAGAGAGGAGAGAGAATAAGGTGAGCTAGTCATTGCCAGCAGTCCCAGCCGCAGGGGCGAGAGAGAGCGAGAGGGAGAGAGAGGGATGGACCAGCTCCCTCGACCCCAGGCAGAGGGTTGGATACAGGAAGATGAACCACCAAATAGATGCAAACCCTTACGCCTCCAGAGAAAGGTGTGCTGGGCAGGGAAAGTAGATCGCGCCATCAGATGCCTGCTGCATACCAAGCGGCCTTTGAGATTCGTTTCTTTGAAGCAATCTGACCACCAGGCAGGGGCCGGCCTGGGTGACACCTGAAAGAGAGGGTTCTGTCCTGTTTGGAGTCCGGCTCCCGCTGCACTGTCCCGAGTCAGACCCTGCCATCTGCTGTAAGCATGGCCTGGGGCCTGGGGGGCCTGGAGGCCTGGGGGCGGGCCCTGAGCTGCCTGGCAGCAGCCTCCCCACACCCACCAGCGCCATGCCGACGATTTCACGCGTGTCTCAGTAAATAAACAAGATATAGATCTCTGGTAGGGCAGCTCTGGGATGAGGCAACCTCGGAGTTTCATGTCTCTAGACTTGCACAAACAGTGAGAAAAACAAGCTTACCTGCATGGCGGTTCAGGGCATCCAGAAAAAGCATGGGAGTCGGGAGGAGGCGAAGGAAATGACTGTGCCTACCACGTGGGCTAAGCACTAACGACATCGGGTTCGTTAAAAGCCAGGCCAAAGGCAGGGTAACAAAGCTGTCAGATGAAGGCATCGTGGCACAGTCAGGACACTACTCTGGGCCCAGCCCTGCCACAGACCCCACCCATCCTGGACCAGTCGCCCTCCCTGAGCCTCTGTTCCTTCCTCTGTAAGAAAGAGAGGATGTAAGTAGTGACTCTAATCCCGCTTTCCCAGATAAATTACTGAGTTTACAGTCCCAGGCCCTGCCCCAGTGTGAGCTGAGAATTGGAGTTTTTTCCTTTTTTTTTTTTTTTTCATAAAGATGTATTCTATTTATTTGGAAAGGTAGTTACAGAGAGAGGGGGGAGAGACAGAGTTCCACCCTAGTTCTACCCTAGTTCACTCCCTGAAGCCAGGAGCCAGGAGCTACTTCTGGGAACCCTACATAGGTACAGGGGCCCAAGCACTTGTGCTTTCCCCGGGCACATGATCAGGGGGCTGGATCAGAAGTAGAGCAGGGGCTGGTGCTGTGGCACAGTGGGTTAAAGCCCCGGCCTGAAGCACCAGCATCCCATGTGGGTGCTGGATCTGGTCCTGGCTGCTCCTCTTCTGATCCAGCTTTCTGCTATGGCCTGAGAAAGCAGAAGATGGCCCAAGTGCTTGGGCTTTCTTCTGCTGCTTTCCCTGGGCACATGACCAGGGAGCTGGATCAGAAGTAGAGCACTTGCAGTTATCCATTTCTTTGTGCCATTCCTCAAATGATAAGAAATCTCAAAAGTCTGCCTCTGAGAAGCAAAGTCCAGAAGATCACCTTTATGTGTTAGAGCACAATTGGCATCTACTGATTAGAGAGTTTCATAAACAGACCTTGAGTTCCACCATGATGCCTCATCCAGCAAGTGCACCCTTCGGCCACGAGAGAATGAGACTTTCAGGTCCCCAGGCTTTTGATAAAAATGAAATTAATTCTTTACAATCCAGTGAAGGCCTTCTGGAGAAAATCATTAAACAAGCAAAGCATATTTTTCTGAGGAGTAGAACTGCTGCAACCATTGACAGCAAGTCGCATTGAGGAGCCTCAGATACAGGCTCACTGGTCAAACATCAATGATGTTTATGAATCAAGTGTGAACGTTTTAATTACATCACAAGGATATGAACAAATATGCGAGTCTGTTCAGCTGCAGTTGAATATTGGAGTTGAGCAGACCCCAGTTGTGCACAGAGATGGAAGAGTAATTACACTATCTCATCGGGAGCAGGAACTACAGGATTTTCTTCCGTCTCAGATGTCACAGCATCAGGTGCATGCAGTTCAACAGCTGGCCAAGGTGATGGGCTGGCAGGTACTCAGCTTCAGTAACCATGTGGGACTTGGGCCCATTGAGAGCACCGGCAATGCCTCGGCCATAACAGTGGCCTCCCCGAGTGGTGACTAGGCTATTTCAGTTCGTAATGGGCCTGAAAGTGGCAGCAAGATCATGGTTCAGTTTCCCCGTAACCAGTGTAAAGATCTTCCAAAAAGTGATGTTTTACAGGATAACAAATGGAATCGTCTTCGTGGACCATTCAAAGAAGTCCAGTGGAATAAAATGGAAGGTCGAAACTTTGTCTATAAAATGGAGCTGCTTATGTCTGCACTTAGCCCTTGTCTACTATGATTTTTTCCAGAAAAGTTTCCAGGAACTTCGGCTTGATATTTCAGGTCATCTATAAGCACAAGGAAGAGAAATATTCCAAAGGAGTATTGTTTTTTAAACATAGGAGATTTTTACCTAGCATTTTGAACACTTTCACTTTATAAGTGACAAGTGCTTTGAAAGGCAGAAGTTTCTGTACAGTTGTAGGGTGTACAGCATGGGGAGATGTAAAATAATACACTTTGATGTGGTTAACTTGAAAATATTATTAACTTAAAGGTTTGGCTTTACTTTTAAAATATTCCTTCTTTGATGTTAACATCCAATAAAGTACGTGGTTAAAAATCTCCAAAAAAAAAAAAAAAAAAAAAAAGTAGAGCAGCCAGGATTTGCACTGGCACCCATTATAGCGTGCTGGTACTGCAGGTTGTGGCTTAACCTGCTACAACACAGTGCCAGTCCCAGGAATTGGGAGTTTTTGCCCATGTGCCCCTAAACCATGCTTTGGGATGAATCTGCCCTCTTTTAACTCTTTTGTAACCATAACCTCTTCTCAACTAAGCTTCAAACAGTTCCACTCTTGCTAGTACACTTGGAATTTCCTACACACAGAGCTGGCATTGTGGTACAGCGGGTTAGGCTTGCAACACAGACGTCCCCACGTCCCATGCCAGAGGTTCTAGTCCCAGCTGCTGCACTTCCAATCCAACACCATGCTGATATGCCTGGGAAATCAGCAGATAGCAGATAACTCAAGTACTTGGGGCCTGTCCACCCACCTAGGAGACCTAGATGGAGTCCCTGGCTCCTGTCTTAGCCTCTCCCAGCCCTGGCTGTTGTAGGCAATTGAAGAGTGAAGATCTAAATCATTGGCCCCTCCTCCTTCCCTCACATAAACAACCTGCAAAGATTTTGATTGGTTCTTTTCACAGTCTACAACCTGCAAGGATTTTGATTGGTTCTTTTCACAGTCTTGAGCATTCAGCTCTCCTTCCCATTCCCACTGTCACCATCTTCATTTCAATCCCTGTCACCTCCTCACCAACACTGGTAAAGCTGGTACTCCTGGGGCGGGGGGCTGACTCAGTGGCGCAGTGGGCTAATGCCCTGGCCTGAAGTGCTGGCATCCTATATGGGCGCCGGTTCTAGTCCCGGCTGCTCCTCTCCTGATCCAGCTCTCTGCTATGGCCTGGGAAAGCAGTGGAAGATGGCCCAAGTCCTTGGGCCCCTGCACCCATGTGGAAGACCCGGAGGAAGCTCCTGGCTCCTGGCTCCTGGCTCCTGGCTGCAGATCGGCACAGCTCCAGCCCTTGTGGCCAACTGGAGAGTAAGCATCGGATGGAAGACCTCTCTTTCTCTCTCTGCCTCTCCTCTCTCTGTGTAACTCTGACTTTCAAATAAATAAATACATCTTAAAAAAAAAAAAAGAGTGAACCAGCAGGTGGAAGCTTTCTCTGCCTCCCCTCCCCCGCTGCCATAGCTCTAACTTTCAAATAAATAATCTTTTAAAAAAAAAAAAAAAAAGATGAAGAAGAACCGCTGGCTCCTGGGAGAGACGAAAGTCAGTGAATGAGTAAAGGCACTTGGGTTGCCAGGTGCGAGCACACTCAGTGAAGGTCGCTCAGATCTCTAAGCAGCGCTCTCAGATAGACTTTCCATCTTGTCCTAATGAGGACACCGAAGCTGGGAGAAGATAAGTCACTTTCCCAAGCCTACACCGTGATCTTTAAAAAGCGTGAAGCAGGGGCCCATGTTTGGTGCAGCTATTAGACCCCAGGTGGGGCGCTCTTACCCCATGTCAGAGTGTCTGGGTTCAAGTCCCTGATTCATTTCCATCCAATTTCCTGCTAATGCACACCCTGGAAGGCAGCAGGTAGTAGCTCAAGTACGTGGGTCCCTGCCACCCACATGGGACACGTGGATTGAATTCCAGGCTCCTGGCTCTGGCCTGGGCCAGCCCTGGATGTTGCAGGCATTTGGGAAGGGAAGCAGTGGGTGGAAAATCTCTGTCTCTGTCTCTCTGCTTTTCAAATAAATAAAGCCTTTTTTTAAACTGCGAATCAACAGGCCGGCATTGTGGCCTAGTGGTAAAGCTGCCACCTGCGACATCCCATACAAGCACCAGTTTGTGCCGTGGCTGCTCTACTCCCACTCCAGCTCCCTGCTTATGGTCTGGGGGAGCGGAAGATGCCCCAAGTCCTTGGGCCCCTGCCACCCACATGGGAGACCCAGATGAAGCTCTTGGTTCCTGGCTTTGGCCTGGACCAGGCCTGGCCATTGCAGCCACTTGGGGGAAAGCACCAGTGGGTGGAAGATACCTCTGTGTCTGCCCCTCTTTGTAACTCTTTCAAGTAGATTTTTTTTTTAATATTTATTTATTTTACTTGAAAGTCACAGTACACAGAGGGAGGAGAGGCAGAGAGAAAGAGAGAGAGAGATCTTCCATCTGCTGGTTCACTCCCCAGATGGCTGCAATGGCTAGAGCTGAGCTGATCTGAAGCCAGGAGCCAGGAGCTTCTTCCAGGTCTCTCACATGGGTGCAGGGGCCCAAGGACTTGAGCCATCTTCTACTGCCTTCCCGGGCCATAGCAGAGAGCTGGATGGAAATGGAACAGCCGGGTCCCGAACATGTGTCCATATGGGATGCCAGCACTGCAGGCGGCGGCTTTACCCACTAAGCCACAGCACCGGCCCCTCAAGTAGATTTTTTTTTTAAGTGTAAATTAAATCATGTCACTCCCCTTTGATAGCCTAGCATTGTATTTCTAGAACTAGATGGAGAAACGGAAACACAAAGAGCATAATTATCATGCACAGTCAACAAGGAGACCTCTTTAATTTACTCATTTTCCTTTTACTTAAAAGCCAGAAAAGAAAAAGATTATTTGGGGAAAAAAAAAAAAAAGAAAGCCAGAGAGACGGAGATCTTCCATCTGCTGGTTCACTTCTCAAATACCCATAATAGCCAGATCTGGGCCAGGCTGAAACCAAGAGCCCAGAACACCATCTGGGTTTCCCACACGGGTGGCAGGGACCCAACAGCTTGAGCTGTCACCTGCTGCCTTCCAGAATGTGCATTGGTGGGGAACTAAATTGGGAGGACTTGAACCAGGCTCTCCGAAAAGGTTGAGGGCCATGTCACCTGCTGCACCAAATGCCTGTCCCAGGAAGCAGATCTGAACCGACCAATGGTCTCTCGACCCTGCATGCCTAGCCGAGACAACCAGTCTCCTTACCTCGGCTAACAAAACCCTCATGCTCCGGGGCTTCCTGCCTCTCCAACCTCTGCTCGCCACTCTCCCCAGCCAATGGCCTTTCCACTTTCCCCAAGTCTTGAGTCTCGTTTCCCCCAGGTGATTTGCACACCCGCTCCCTCTCATTGCAATGCTCCTCTCCTAGTTTTCACAAGATTGGTTTCCTGTCACTCAGCTCAGATGTCACTTGCTCAGGATATCCCTGATCCTCCTACACAAGTCGCATCACCTCAATTTTAACCCTCTCAAGAGTGCTTATTCCACATGTGTTTTTGTTTTCTAGATTCTCTCCTGCAGAGCCGTCGGTTCAAAGAAGCATCTTCAGATCTTGGCCGCCCCCTATGCCCAGAGCCTGGGAAGGTGCGGGACTCAGGGTGAGCGCTTGCATGAATGACCGCCTGGATGCACGGAGAGAGAATGAATGACCGAGTTCGAGGCGGGGAATCCCGCGGCGTGGGCGGGGACGTGCGCCCGCGCTGCATGCTGGGGGCTGTAGTTCCCGCCCACCCTGCGGCGACGGCCTCGCGCACGGACGCACGCGCTCGGCACCCAGGACGCGGCGCGGCCCCGTGGTTGCCATGGCTGCTCGGGCGCGCCACAGCCGCGGGGAGGAAGGCCCGCGAGGCTCACGCTAGCCCAGGCGGCGACCAAGTCCGGGAAGGCGGAAGGAACCCGGCGCGGTGGGTTCGGGTCGGGTTTGCTCTGGGAGCATCGGAGAGCGGAGCGTGGAGGACCCGGGAGGCCGGCGGGGGAGCCCGGCGCAGGTACTGAGCATGGCGTCGCTGCGCCCGCTGCTTCGGGAGTCAAGGGTCCGTGCCACCCCAGCTCTGCCGACGGGCTGACCAGCTTGACGAAGCCCAGCGGCTGGCTCGGGGCCCTCCACGCGGGACGCGGCGGAGCCTGTCCCAGAACCCGAGGCTGACAGTAGCGCCGAGGGCTGCACTGTGACAACCCCAGACCCCTTGGCTGCAGGATCGCAGATCCGCAGGCCGCAGGCCGCGTCCTGGGACCCAGCGGCTCCCAACCCCTTCCTCAGTGCCGTGGCCTTGCTCCCTGGGCCTCCTGCCGCCGCGCGCAACCCTGGCGGGAATTCTGAGTGGGTCCTAAAGAGACGGAGTTCCACCACCTTCTATCCAGGGTCTGGAAATAAAGCTCAGATGAAACAGAGCTATATCAGTACGAGATCGAAGGCCTGCTGGGAGCAGCATACCGTCAGCTGGCACACTCGCCCAGCCTCTGTAGTTGAATAAATGTGAAACCAGGCTTAAAAAAAAAACTGTCCTAGACTTGGAGTGACAGGTGGAGTGAGGCTTCCAAGCTAGGTTCCCCACCTTCAAAACCCCTGCGCTTTGTCCAACACCTTTCTTTGCCCCGTTACTCTAATGTCTGCTTAATGGCCGCTGCATAGTGCACTTCTCAGAGTGGGCCGGCGGCCGGCATCTCCTGGGCACAGGTTGGAAATGCTGGCTCGGGGACTTGGGAGTGGATCTGCACGATCTGTTGTAATAAGCCCTCGAGCTGCTGGTAACCCTCGCTAACATTTGAGAAGTGCTAAAGCCAACCAGTGTTTCTCAAGCTTTAATCTGGGTGTCATTCGGGGTCAGGTGGGTGAGGGGTTTTGTTAAAACGCAGGATCTGTATCTCTAAGTCTGGGAGAGACCTGAGATGGATGCATTTCTTTCTTTCTTTTTTTTTTCTTTTTTTTTTTAGATTATTTATTTGAGAGGTAGAGTCACAGAGAGGGAGAGAGAGAGGTCTTCCATTCGCTGGTTCACTCCCTAAATGGCAGCAACGGCTGGAGCTGGGCCCATTCAAAGCCAGGAGCCAGGAGCTTCTTCCGAGTCTCCCCGTGGGTACAGGGGCCCAAGCACTTGGGCCATCTTCCAATGCTCTCCCAGGCCATAAGCAGGGAGCTGGATCAAAAGTGGAGCAGCTGGGATTAGAACCAGTGCCCATGTGGGGTGCCAGCACTGCAGGCAGAGGCTTAGTCCACTAAGCCACAGTGAGGGCCCCATGGATGCATTTCTAATTAGAGCCCCTCATGGCTTGAATAGCAAGAGTGTAAACTACACTTGGGTGCGGTGGTTCTCAAACTTGTCAGTACATTAGAATTACCTGGGGAAAATAGGAGACACGGGCCTCATCCCCCTGACTAAACAAATCAGTCTGGGATGCAGAAGCCAGGTCAAAACACCCTGTGGGGCCAGCACTGTGGCTTAAGAGGTTAAGCTGCTGGAAGGGCTGCTCCACTTCCAATCCAGCTCCCTGCTAATGCACCTGGGAAAGCAGCAGAAGATGGCCCAAGTCCTTGGGCCCCTGCACCCAGGTGGGAGACCTGGAAGAAACTCTTGGCTCCTGGCTTCTGCCTGGCCCAGTTCTGGCAATTTGGGGAGTGAACCAGTGGATGAAAGATCTCTTTATCTCTCCCTCTCATGGTCTCTAACTTGGCCTTTCAAATAAATAAATCTTTAAAAAAAAAAAAAAAAAGCCAACACCCCCTGTGATTGTGTAGTGCAGGTTAGGAACCTCTGGTAGGCCAGCGCCTCGGCTCACTAGGCTAATCCTCCACCTTGCAGCGCCGGCACACTGGGTTCTAGTCCCGATTGGGGCGCCAGATTCTGTCCCGGTTGCCCCCCTTCCAGGCCAGCTCTCTGCTGTGGCCAGGGAGTGCAGTGGAGGACCCTGCACCCCGTGGGAGACCAGGATAAGCACCTGGCTCCTGCCATCGGATCAGCACAGTGCGCCAGCCGCAGCGCGCCGGCCGCAGCAGCCATTGGAGGGTGAACCAATGGCAAAAAGGAAGACCTTTCTCTCTCTCTCTCTCTCTCCACTCTGCCTCAAAAAAATTTAAAAAAAAAAAAAAAAGGAACCTCTGGTGTGGGATTTGGGGTCAGGCAGCTATGGTTGGAATCCCAGTACCTCTGCTTCTCAGTGCTGTGACCTTGGCGAGTTACTTAGCTCATATTTTCCTCGTTTATAAAGTGGGTAAAAGTAAACTGACTTACAAGGGGGTGTGAGGAGACTGTGAGATGATGCACAAATCACTTGTGTCTATGGACGTGAAAATCGGGGAGGTCAGTGCTGGGAATTCGGGTTGAGGACCTGGTGGAGGTGAACTGGCCTGCTGCAACGACCATCCGTGTGTTCTGCCCACAGCAGGCCGTCAGCCGCTGCTGTGGAGAGATGGCAGTGAGCCACTCCGTGAAGGAGCGGACCATCTCCGAGAACAGCCTCATCATCCTCTTGCAAGGCCTCCAGGGCCGGGAGACCACGGTGGACCTGCGGGACGAGAGTGTGGCCCACGGACGCATAGACAACGTCGATGCCTTCATGAACATCCGCCTGACCAAGGTCACCTACACGGACCGCTGGGGTCACCAGGTCCAGCTGGATGACCTGTTTGTGACAGGCCGTAACGTCCGCTATGTGCACATCCCAGATGACGTGAACATCACCGCGACCATCGAGCAGCAGCTGCAGCTCATCCATCGGGTGCGCAACTTCGGCAGCACAGGCAAAGGCCGCCGGGAGTTCCCCTCCAAACGCCATAAGTGAGGCTGTGCCCTCGGCCAACTCCAGCCCCAACTCAGGCTCCTCCGCGTTCTCCTGAGCTGGCTTCCCGCCATCCCTCTCTGCCCAGAGCCTGGGAAGGGGGCGGGACCAACCCAGAAACTGACATCCAGCAGACACCCCTGTCACACAGCTGCCTTTCGCAGGGTTCCGCCTCCCAGACTCACCCTGGAACCCAGAATCCCGTCTCTCTGTGGCCTTGGGGCAGGTGACAGTCCCCCTTTTTGCTCCTTTGCACCTGAACCTCTCTGGGTTGCTGGGTTATGGAATCTGTGCGGTAGTTTTTAACCCTCTCCCAGTGAGGATTATGAAATGGGCTCGTTCTGAGCCCTATCTCGGTGTCCCCTTTTCTCTTGCAGTTATGGTCACTTTCTCATAAAATCAAACTTGAATACCCACAAGTCCATGCCTCATGCTTTCCTGGCCACGTGCTGTAGTCGGATGCCAGGTCTCTAACTTGGCTGCTCTTTGGAATCACCTGTCCCACCTTTGGATTCAGATTTAATTGGTGAATCAAGGACTAGGGTTTTTTAAATTTTCCCAGGTAATTCTGATATGTAGCAAAGTTTGAGAATTGAAGGAGGCAGGTCCTTGCACCTGTCAGGTGGGAAAGGCTGTTAATCTCATTGCTGTTCCTGGGAGCTGAGCCGTGAGAGGAGCGTGGGCCCTCCTCTCAAGGGTGGGAGGTCAGCCCACGGCAAGAAGTCGGTCTCTGATTGTGAGAGTCGTTGAGCCCCAGGGTAAGAGCCCACGTGTCTGTGGCACTGGCCTTGGGGCTATCGCAAACCTGCGGCAGGCAAACAGCTTTGCCAGCGCAGGCGGCTCAGTGCTGGGGGACTGGAGAGAATGATGGTCAGATAGTCACGGGGAAGCTGCCATGCGCAAGGCTTCTGCCGAGCACGTGGCGTGGAGTGAGACTCGGACCTTCCTGGAGAGGAGGTGGTCAGGGGAAGCCAAGATGACGAGCAGCCTGAGAAACGCTGAGCCAGAGCTTGGGGTCCCTGAGCTTCAGACACTGGCTTCAGAAGGGAGATTGGAGAGAGCCAAAGGTCGCTGCACTCACGTTCGGGGACCTGGTGTCATCATCAGAACCACTGGGATGTGTGTAGACCGCTACTTCCTGGCTCCCTGTGGCCACAGACTTGAACCACAAGCGGGGACCCATCTGTCCACCAAGATCCCGCTGCATAATGTATTTATTTATATGTCTTTCTTCTGTTGCCTAGAACTAGAAGCCCCTTAGACTCTGCCCTTTGCCCTTAAGAGGAAATAGAGGGTTCCAGAGAGAAAGCCACCTCGCTCCCCGACTCCCTTCCCTGACAGCTGGAGCGAAGGGGACGGACAGCACATGGCGAGTGCTGGGAGCAGTCCTCACTGCCAGCAAGTGATGGGGATGGCTGCCACAGCCTCCCTGGCACAGCTTCCCGCCTGCCTGTGCTGCCAGACTTGAACAGGGCTCCTGCTGGGGGTTTGGCCTAGGGATGGAGGAAAGTGGAGCTCTGAGGCTCTGATGCATGCTGGGGCCTGGTACAGGCTCAGCAGGGGAGCCGGGGGCTGATGGGGGAGGGGCACTGCAGAGAGGCCCTGGGTGCCCGGTGCTGTTCCTAGGCAAGGTGCTGGAGAGACCGATGGAGATGAGGGAAAGCAGGCCTGGCTTAGAAGCCCCAAGGGTATGCAGGGTCTTTTGTTATTTGGTCCTGAACCCAGTGGGGGCTGAGGGAGCTCAGTGCCCCCCAGCCCATGGGAAGCCAGGAACTGTGCCTGCCACTGATAAGCCATTCCAAAGGTAATTTTTTCAAAAAAAGAAAAGAATTTATTTATTTAAGAGTGACAGATCTATTCATTTGGGTTCACTTCCCAAGTAGCCACAAGAGTCAGGACTGGTCCAGGCCAAACCAGGAACTCATCTGGGTCTGCCACATGGTTGCAGGGGTCCAGGTACTTGGGCCCCTCTTCCTCTCCCTTCCCAGGCGCATTAGCAGGGAGCTGGGTCGGAAGCAGAGCGGCTGGGACTCAAACTGGTGTTATGATAGAGGGTCGCAGGTGGCAGCTTAACCGGCCAAGCCACAAGGCAGCTCATTGCATGGGTATTTGTTGAGCACCAGGTGTGTAGCAGGCACCTCTGGGTGGACAAAGGTCTCACCCTCAGGGAGCTGACACTTGAGCAGGGAGACATAATAAATCAAAAAATGTAAAAATGCCTACAGATGTAAAGGAAATAAATGGCATTTTGAGAGAGAGAAAACAGAGGTGGTCTTATTTTGACAAGTGTGCCAAAGTGAAATTTAAACAGAGAAGGAATCTGCCATTTGAAGAACCAAGGGAAAGTGGGGGAAACTGCCAGTGCAAAGGTCCTGAGGTGGGAAAGCTCAGGGGCTTGGGGCAGTAAGAGTACCATGGAACCTACTGATGGGGGAAGAGAGGCAGGTGGATGTGCAGAAAGAGGAGGAGCTGGTGCCAGTTAGACAAGGCTGGGGGCAGGCAGCGTAGCTGACTTGTGGTGTGTAGGAAATAGAACTCGAATGTGTGGTGGCTGGTGTTTTTTTTGTTTTGTTTTGTTTTTACATTTTTAATATTTTCATTTTGTTTGAAAGGCAGAGAGACAGATCTTTGACCAGCTGACTCGCTCTCCTCTGGGGCTTCTGTGTGGGTGGCAGGGACCCAAGTACTTGAGCCATCGCCTGCTGCCTCCCCAGGGTCTGCTTTAGCAGGACTTGACCCAGGCAGTCAGATACGAGGTGCAGCCGTCCCAAGCATCGACTTCAGCTGCTGTGCCAAACGCCCACCCCTTGAATTCCCGTGACTGACTTCCTGTTTTACCCCCACTCAGCCAGAGAGGCAGAAACCTACCTGAAGTCCACTGGGAGTGCCCCCTTTTCCTTGGGATCGAGTCCTGTGGCACTTCCTTCCAAGGTGCCAAAGCGTGGGAAGGGTGGGTGATGAGATGGTCCTCCAGTCACCAGCATCCCCTGATCTGCCACCATCAGCACACAGAGGTTGCTGCCATGTCATGCCCCCGGGTGTCACCTAGCCCCTTCTCAGGTGTCCAGGTGCTGTTTTTCCTGCTTCCCTCAGGCCACGGTAAGCCCCCGGGAAATCCTGGGAACTTAGGTTAGTTGGGCCCTGTTCAGCCAAGTGTAACACACAGTGGCTTCTCCAGAGGGTTTTCTTAGCTCCCTGATGCCCTACCCAGAAAAAGGACCCTTCCCTGTGTCTCAGTCCCTAGACATGGCCGATAGCCCCATCTACAGGGCTAAAGAGAAGCGTCTCTATCCTGGGAGACCCCTGCCCCCAGATCCAGCCTCCCACATCCCCCTGGCACTGTTTTCTAAATTTGTATCTGCACAGAAATTCTTTCCATTCCTCCCCGAAGGCTAGGCTTTGGGATCTCAGAAGCTAAAAATGGACTGTGCATTCTGTTGTATGGCTCCACTCATTTCCTGAAGTAAACGCATGCAGGATCTCCTGACAGTCTGTGTAAGGGAGGAGCCGAGGGGCACCGAGGGAAAGATGAAGAACCTGTTTTCAAAAAGCTGCTGGCCTAGGGCCGGCGCTGTGGCATAGCAGGTAAAGCCTCCTCCTGCAATGCCAGCATCCCATACAGGTACTGGTTTAAGTCCCAACTGCTCTACTTCTGGACAGGGGAGAGCTGGGTGGGCACAGAGCTGGAAGTTCAGGTCTTCCCAGGGCATGCCACTGACACAGCATCTCCAGAGTTCAGCACAGCCAAGCAGGATGGGACTCCGCAGGCTGTGTGTGTTCTAGTCTGCTCTCCCTGGCTGAAGGGCCACAGAACAGCAGGTGTCCCTTGGGTTCTCATCTGTGTTCCGGGAAGACGCAGAGAAACGGGACAACGTATGTGAAGGGTAACCACGTGCGCTTGGTCTCTGCTTCGGCATGGAATTTTGTTGGTAACGTGACAATCACACTGGCCTGCTGCACCTGATGGCAATGAGACGCGATGTCAGGCCAGCTCTGTCCTTTGGAGGCCCAGCGAGGAGAAGGAGCTCTCTCCAGCCCCCGTGGTTAAGTTAGAGGCAGCGTACCAAGATGGGCACCATGATAGTGATCACAAACAGCTACTGCTTGGTGCCTCTCATCCCATGCCACACAGGGGCTCTGTGTGTTCCATGGGGCAGAGCTGTTGTCTGGGGTCACTGGAGCCCCAGCATCCAGCTCCGTGATCTACACACAGCAGGCCCACATTGCAATGCTATACCAACCTATAATTAAAGATTTATTTTTATTTATTTGAAAGAGTTACAGAGTGTTAGGTCTTCTATCCACTGGTTCATTCTCCAAATGACTGCAGTGGCTGGAGCTGAGCCGATCCAAAGTCAGGAGCCAGGTGCTTCTTCCGGGTCTCCGGCAAGGGTGCAGGGGCCCAAGGACTTGGGTCATCGTCTGCTTTCCCAGGCCACAGCAGAGAGCTGGATCGGAAGTGGAGCAGCCAGGGCTAGAACCGGTGCCCATTATAGGATACTGGCACTTCAGGCTGGGGCTTTAACCAGCTGCACCACAGCACCGGCCCCCATATATACTTTTAAAGATTTATTTATTCAAAAGAGTGACAGAGAAGGAGGGAGAGAGATCTTCCATCTACTGGTTCATTCCCCAAATGACTGTAATGGCTAGGGCTAAGCCAGGCCAAAACCAGGAGCCTAGAACTCCATCTAGGTCTCCCACGTGGGTGGCAAAGTTTCCAAGCACTTGAGCCATCATTTGCTTTCCCAGGTGCATTAGTAGGGAGCTGGATTGGAAACAGAGCAGGCAGGACTAGAACTGGTACTCACCAGTGTTGCCACCCTGGCCCCCTCCTTTAAAAACAAATAAAAAAGACTTTTTTCTTTGGAAGGCAGAGACAGAGAAACAGTCCTATATATTAAAACCCTATGAGCCAGTTCCGCGGTTCACTAGGCTAATCCTCCGCCTTGCGACGCCGGCACACCGGGTTTTAGTCCCAGTCGGGGTGCCAGATTCTGTCCCGGTTACCCCTCTTCCAGACCAGCTCTCTGCTGTGGCCCAGGAGTGCAGTGGAGGATGGCCGGAGTGCTTGGGCCCTGCACCCCATGGGAGACCAGGAGAAGCAGCTGGCTCCTGGCTTCGGATCAGCGCGATGCGTCGGCTGCAGCGCGCCAACCACCGCGGCCATTGGAGGGTGAACCAACGGCAAAGGAAGACCTTTCTCTCTGTCTCTCTCTCTCACTGTCCACTCTGCCTGTCCAAAAAAAGAAAGAAAGAAAGAAAGAAAGAAAGAAAGAAAGAAAGAAAGAAAGAAAGAAAGAAAGAAAGAAAGAAAGAAAGAAAGAAAGAAAGAAAGAAAAAAAAAAACCCTCTATGGGGTGGGGAAGTGCTAGTGTTCTAGTGTTCATTGTAGCCTAGCAGGTAAGGCTGCCACCTG